CACAATCTTGGAAAGACCTGAAACGATATTTTAGATATGTTTATGTTCCCATGTATTATGCTGACATTTTGTTCAACAAACTGCAATGTTTAAAACAAGATACCAGAACTGTTACTTCATACTATCATGATATGCAAGCTTGTTTATTACGTTGTGGTTTAGATGAATGCGAAGAAGCTAAAGAATTGAGGTTTTTATGTGGGCTTAACAAAGAAATTCAGGACATGCTTGATTGTCAAAGATATACATCTCTTTCTCATTTGTTACAACTTGCTTGCAATGCTGAAAGTAAAATAGAGGAGGACATGAAGAAGCAACATGCTATGTTTTTGTCTTCTATTACTAACCATTTGCAGGAAGTGCATAATCATGAAAAGGAGGAGAGAGACATGAAAGAGCCGCCAGTCCCATTGATCACACTCAAAGTCGAGGCACCTCCATTATCTGAAGAGGGCATCAAAGGTAAACTTAATGGTGCTGAAATTAATAAAGGTGAGTGTGTTGTTAATGAATTGAATTCGTCCACTTTTTATGCTATAGCAGAGCAACCATTAGTGGAACCAACTGCTGGAATTCCTTTGTCACAAGTTGATTTACTCGCTGTTCTTTGTGATAAAGAAGAGTTGTGTGATAATGCTTCACTTATTATATCCATTCCACAACTAGTGAATGAACATGCTATTTCTAGTGTTTCTTTATGTGCTGATTTTAAGCATGTTGTTCATATTGCTAATGAAGTACAGGAACGTGAATTGCTATCTTCTTTAAATACTTTGGGCTATGTTCAGTTTGATGATTTTTGTGAGCTCGATAATTTGAAGAAGAAATTATTTGCTAAGTCTGATTTGCCTTGTCCAACTACTGCTATTTTTCATATATTTGGCGAATCTGATGATAGAGGAATATATTTGGTGCATAGAGTTTACATATGTTCAGATTTAGAACCTCCTATACATGTGGATAAAACATGCAAGCTAGAGCGAAATGTTATTGCTAACCAAATTGTCTCGAGTTTGCCTTGTTTTGACTGGAAGAAACAGGTTGTTGTAAATGGACTACGCAAAGAGCACCATATGGAAAAACCGAGGACGGTTTTCCGTGAAGAAGGGGAGGATGATGTGACCATGGCTACCACAGATGCAACCATTGCTCACATCATGGATGAACAAGAAGATATCAAGATCAAGTCCTCCAAGTGCTGGAATCCGATTCGGCCACCTACTACACTGCTGACTTCAAACGGCTGCCGAATCTGCATACGACCTCCGTTTTCGGCCCGTGAGTACTTGATGGAAAGCTCTTGGAGTCCTCTTTCCAATGGATCCAGCCTCATTGCGAAATTCCATCTTATTGAGCCGCAATTGAAGCAACAAGGTGCTGCGTCACCTATAATGGGCCTATGGGCTTGTAACTTCGTCTGGGACCCCGGCCCAGGTGGGGCCCATGTGGGGTGCGCCCCAGCCAGGTGGAGCACGACCCTAGGCACCCCTAGGTCGTCCTCCCACCCCTATTTATATAGTTAGGTACCCCTTCAGGGTTTCTTGGGTTTTGTTAGATTAAAGTTTAGCCATTGCTATTTGCTTGCAGCGCGCGTGTCGGCTAGACCGTCCGTCTGCTTGTTCTTCGGAACCCCAACTTATCATTTGTATTAAATTCCTATTTGCAATATCAGATTGCTTTTATCTTGTTCTTGCTTGTTTCTTCGATTTGCTTGCAGGAATAGGGTTGATCTGCACCGGCAAGATCAGCAACCCGCGGAGAGGTGTATCGATCGCTAAGGCGCAACACAACGTCTCGTACGGTTGTAGTCGGATCGTCAACGTTTCTCCCAAATCGTAGTTATCACAACTCACCGAAAGATCGGGCCAACAACAGCCTTGAGTGTCGAGAGGAACTCAGGGTTCATCAAGATCTAGTGGGAAATCGAGGGAATCGATGATGGGGCGAAACTCGATCTTTAGATGGTGCGGTGGGGCTGAGCTCGAGAACCAAGTAGTACTTGGGAACGTGAACGACAACGACGTGGGGCTTAGCACGTAGTTGGAGGACGAATTACGACGAACCACAATATCTCTCGGACCCACAAACCACAACTGTCAACTGATGATCAACTTGTTCTTGATTGAGCTAGAGGCGGCTGGCAATTTAAAATTGGGTGAAAATGGCCTAAAGTGAAATTTAGGCCCTGTTTGATTCAGCTTAGGATTATTATAATATGGATTACTATGAGTAAGCTGAAACAGACAAATAGATTATTATGATAGATTATTATAATCTATAAGCCAGATTACTATAATCTAATAATCTCCTTGGAGGAGCTTTTTCCAGATTATTGGGTGGCTAAAAACCCACTACCCTAAGATGCCTTCAATAATCCAGAGAAACAAACAACTCGTAGCTTATTTTATGTTAGCTTATTATAATCCAGTTTAGAGTAATCTGATTTAATAATCTAGATTACAATAATCTTAAGCTGCAACAAACAATCCCTTAGTCAATACTTTCTCCGTCCCAAAATAAATGTAGCCATGGTTTTCCACGCCCAACTTTTACCGTTCGTCTTATTTGAAAACTTTTTGAAAAAAAATTAAAAACATAAGTCACGAGCAAAATACTATTCATGTTTTATCATCTCATAATAACAAAAACGCTAATTATAAAAAAATTTTAAATAAGACGGACGATCAAAGTTAGGCGTGAAAACTCATGGCTGCACTTATTTTGGGATGGAGGTAGTAAAAGATAGCCTAAATGCAAATCACTCAAATTTAAACGCTGAAATATTAAATTAAATTGCATGGATAATCTACGAATAATTAAACAATTCAAAAGTTTTGAAAATACAGCATCAAGGCTAATTAAAGCGGCCGAACCCAACAAAACAAGCTAGCCGTTCTGCTGTCATCAGACTACGCCGGCACGATCCGGTCAAACCGAAAACCACCACCACCAGAGGTGTCCGTACCGCGCGCCACAGTGCCTAACGAAACACGGACGCAGACGGCAGACGGCAGACGAGACACCCACAACGACAATTCGAAATCAAAAACCGGCGCCCCCGCCGCGAGAGACCCCACGCCCCCCGCCCGGATCCACCCATCCGCCGCGCGGCCGCGGACACCAACCACACGCCCACCCACCCACCCACCCGAGGCATCGGCGGGTTGGCCGGGTTGCTGCCGCGCCGCGCGTCGCGTGGTGCGTGTGCGCGCGGGCGGGCGGCAAAAGCGGACGGGGAACGTGGGCGATGTATCGCCGCGCTCCGCTCCGTTGTGCGGTCGCGGTCTCGGTCTCGGACTCTCTCTCGGCTAGTAGGGCGGTCTCGGTCTCGGTCTCGTCTGCCATCCTGTGCCTCGTGCCTCCACATGCGGACAAGTCGCGCGGGGTGGGGGCGGAGGAGTTTTTCGATCGGCACGACGAGCGAAGCTACAGCACCGCCTGCCCCCCAGGCAGCTGACTGCTCCGCTGGATTTTGTGTTGCGGGTGGCCCCCACCATCCCCGCCCCGGCCGCGCATCTGCCACCATCAATTATCCTCTCGTCTCGACTCACATCACCTACTATACTACATTGTACTCCTTCCCTAAAAAAAACTTGGTTTCCGTGCCTAATATTTGACCGTCCGTCTTATTTAAAAAAATTATAAAAAAAAATTAAAAAGACAAGTCACCCATAAAATATTAATCATGTTTTATCATCTAACAATAATAAAAATACGAATTATAAAAAATTTCATATAAGACGTACAGTTAAAGTTGCACACGAAAAGTAGGGTTTGTAAACAGAGAGAGTAGTACACAGTTTACAGGACGGGACTCTTGTATTACGTTTTCCCACAATCCTATTACCAGCGCAAGCATAGTACTGTACCACTCTTACGAGTGTACTCCTGCTACTACGAGCGTACTGTACTAGTCACTCCGTCTCCTAATATAATATAAGGGATTTTAACTTGTTATTTGTACTGTTTGACCATTTATCTTATTTAAAAAATTTGTGCAAATATAAAAATTTAAAAGTTATGCTTAAAGTATTTTGGGTAATAAAGTAAGTCACAGATAAAATAAATAATAATTTCAATTTTTTTTGAGTAAGACGAATGATCAAATAGTGCAAATAAAATATCAAAATCCCTCGTATTAGGGGATGAAGGGAGTACACTGTACTAGTACTTCCTCCGTTCCATAAAAAATCAATCTAATACCGGATACGACATATACTAGTACTACGAATCTGAACGTAGATATGTTACATCCGATTTTAGATTCGTTTTTTTTATAGAACAGAGGGAGTATACTATGTACCGCTGCCCTTACCAGCATCCTCTTGGATTTATACTGACGTGAACAGTGCATGAAACGATCCTTAATTCCTTATTGAATCAAGATTGTGATTCACGCTCATAAGAACCGTAGTATACGTATCTCATGAGAAACTGAACATTTTCGTAGTGCGGTAGCTGTAAAATTTAGGGTTAATTCGATCGTACCATTGCAAATTTGATTGACTGAAAAAAAAAACCATTTGGTATTCCTTTGAAATTTGAATTGTGCCATTATGTTGTCTTCAATCGTCAGCGAGCTCATTTTTTTCTCTACCGTATTTTTATATGGACACGTTTGCCCCTGCCTGAATGACCTAAGACGTATGAATAGGATGATACGTTAGAGATAAAAAAAAGAAGCTCGATGGCAATTCAAGGCAATGTAATTGCATGATTCAAATTTCAGATGTATACCGATGATGGCACTCAACTAGTTTAACGAATAATAAAGATATTTTTTCAATCGTTCAAAATCACAATGATATGGATCTGATTAACCTCAAATGTAGTAAGGGTGTGCATAAAAAAGAGAGTAAATTTGAGAGTAGAAAAATGGAAATTCTCGGTGAAAGGAAGCGAGGAGTTGTCTCGGAGAGAGAGGAGAGTGCATTATTGCACACTCATCGTAAGGCTGAAGTCCACGAGGACGCCATTATTGGTAACTATCCAATCCAATCAAATCGAAGAGAGAGAGGCATTAGTTAATTTTACCGAACCCTCTCTTCTCCTCTCTCTCTCTCTCTCTCTGACTGCCTCGCAAGCCTCGCCTCGCCTCGCTAGGAAGGAAGGAGAGAGTGGTTGCTAGGCTAGCAGCAGGAGCGAGGCGGAGCGGAGCTACTCCTACTAGCTTCCCTTTCGCGGCCATCCATGCGCGCACGCGCGAGCGAGGCGTGAAATCCGAGCAATGCCGATGGTGATGGCGCGCGGCCTGCCCCGATCCGCTCATCTGTAGTAGAGGTGGGAGTGGGGTTGGTGGTGGTGGTGGTGTGGTGGCGCGAGATGGGATCTGGAAGCAGCAAGGCCGGCGCCTCGTCGGCGTCATCTTCGTCGTCGGCGTCGGCGTCGGCGTCGGCGTCCGGCGGCGACGAGGCGAGTAAGGGGAATGGGAAGGGGCAGCGGAGGGGGAGGGGGAGGGGGAGAGGCCTGCTGCAGCGGCTGCCGAGCTCCTCCTCCTCCTGCTTCCGCGGCCACGGCACGCCGTCGCGCGACGACGCTTCCTCGGCGTCTTCGCCACCGCCACCGCCACGGCCGCCGCGGCGGCCGTTCGAGGTAAGGAGGACACCGCCGTCCCGCGCTTCCTTTGACTGAGCCGGGAATGCTGCCTGTGCAAACGTCGTGTGATGATGAAGTGGTGTGCGTATGCGTGCATTTCCATCGATGGACTGGGGCTAGATCTCGTGTTTGTTGAGCGATTGCCTTGTTTTTCATGTCGAGTCGTGGTTGGGGGGAGTTTGTGGTTTCCACCGTTTTCGCTGCAGAGCATTCGAGTTAGTACTTGGGTGGGGATGGGAGATTGCCCAATGCGATTTCACTGAGTGCTGCATGATTTGGCTACAGTGGCTTTGACAGTGAGTGGAGCTTGATGAATAGTGAGAGTTTCCTAATCCATACTCATAGTATGAATCAGTGTATAATGAAATTGATTAAATTTGTTGGGATCAGACAAGTCTGTTCATATGTAAGCAATATGTGGTTTTATGAATTAGATGCCCTGCTAATAACAGAATGATGCATTTGTGTGTTTCCAGTCTAGCAAGGGAGAGGAGAATGGAAGCCTGCCTTCAATCGCTCAAATGGACAAATCAGAAGAGGATGCTCCCACAATCCCTAAATCTCATCCAGGTGAAGGGGCAACATTGCCTTCATCACATATAAACAGGGATCAGGATGTTGATGTATTGCAGAATGCCACTGCCGTCAACAACAGGGTGGAGGTCAACCAGTCACCAAATCATTCTGACAGTTCACGGCCACGTTTTGGTGTCAACTTCGGGTTGAGTAGAGCTGTCAGCTTGGGATCATCGGTAGCCTGCTCCATTCTCTCATCGGACCTCTCCACTTCAGCTAATCCTGATGGAGGCCATGGAAATGTGGACAATTCTTCTGATGCAAACATCTCCCAGCAAGGTGGTGCATCAACTGCTGGGATTGATTCGACTCTGGATATGCTTAGAGATAGTGTAACCGCACAAGCTAGAGCAGCCCATCAGGCTAGGAGAAATTTGCTAGAATCCGACAATGCTAACTTGAGATATTCCAACAGAAGGATGGGACCTCAGGAACCTTTTGAAGGCAGTGTTCGATTCAGCCGAACGTTGAGTGTTGGACGTCTTCGTGACAGAGTTCTTAGGAGGACTCCATTCTCAGATGGGTTATTCACCCCTTCACTTCTTTACGATAGGGCAATATGGCCATCAGGAAATGCTAGTGCCAGGCAAAATTCAGCAATCATGCAAAGGACTAATTCAGAGAGAAATTCTGAACTGCAATTGGATTCTTCAACCGACTCTGCAACTCTAAGAGAGGCCAATAATCGGGATCTACTGGAGCGCAGATCAGCTTTTCTTGAGAGGAGGAGGATACGATCTCAGGTGATCTGTGTTTCAACTATTTTGAGCCTTTAGTTTTCAGCTATACATACTAATGTGTTTGCTTTCTTAACAGGTCCGAGCTCTCCAAAGATTGGGCAGCAGGTATGAAAATCTATCAGGACTATCAGGACATGAGAGATCATGCATACTATCTGGTCAGCATAGAACGGGAAATTGTAATTGCAGAACGAGCAGTCGACCAGGAAATTCTGATGAAGAAACAAACACAAGAGCTAGCATATCAAGAATCGTTATGTTAGCAGAAGCACTTTTTGAGGTAAGTAGTACAATTGTTTGTAGTTATTGCCGCTTTCTTTTACTGGAGAAAAATGTTAAATTGCATCCATAATTCCATATGGTTATACACATCAGGTTCTGGATGAGATCCACCAACAGTCTGCTGCCTTATCCTCAAGGCCATCGTTTTCTTCAATTGGGTCCGTTCCTGCTCCAAAGGAGGTTGTCGAGCGTCTTCCTGTAAAAGTATACAGGAGATCATTAAAACACCAAACTGAGGAGGCTGCACAGTAAGCCACTGAGCTTGTATAGAAATTATTTAACATTTTTAGTTCAATATTTGAACTTCTACCCATGCTCAATTTATAGCCATTATTATTTGCCCACAAAGTTCAGAGTCTAAAACTAAATCTTGAGGACAAGTGAAGCAGAGGCAAGTAAAAAACTGTGAATGTCTAGAGTGATTAAGATCTTATGTCTTTTAATTGCATAGGCATAAGATTATTTGTGCTATTTGATCACCCATCAAGTGCTTGGATGAAGACATGAGCGGTATTGAGTTGCTATCAACGCTCTATCTAGCCACAAACACATGCCATTTTTAAGTCAACATTTAAGTGCATGGTCTATGGATGCAACCTTTTTCCACTGAAATTTGCTTTTATTTATTTATAAAATTCTATAAAACTATGGTACCATGAATGTAGTTTATGAGACATTTCTTCACATCTACTTTTTTACTCATCCAAACTAAATAGAACTGGTGTTAGTACTCAAAAGTTTTGATACTTTGACTAGATGTTGTGATGTATCATGCGTGGTCCGAAATTCCAAATTTTAAGCTGAGTATAAGAAAGGGCCCATGGATGCTAATTCTTGGCTTCTCGCAATATAACAGAATTGCTATTCTCTTCATAGGGCATTTGAGCTGCTAGTTCATTTCCAGCTTAGGCTGTTGCGTCTGTAAATTTTTCTACTGTAGAATTATTTAGTACTATCGTTGAATAAATCTAAAGAAAAGTGTGTCATTTTGCAACTTCTCATCTTTTCCTTGCTATGCAGATGCTACATTTGCCTTGTTGAATATGCCGAGGGAGACTGTGTCCGTATTCTTCCATGCAATCATGAATTTCATCTAACATGCGTAGATAAATGGTTGAAAGAGATACACAGGTATGATGGATTAATCTAAATAATTTATAATTTGCATAAGTAAATGAACAGAACTGCGGTCAACATGCTATTGTTACCTCTTTATGTCAGAGCTCTATAGCTGTTCCTTGATAAGTGTTCTAACATAACTTGAGTAAATGACAGTTAAGAAAGCAACATTATGTACTGAAAAGACCTACATGCTTCGTGTTTTTCAGGGGTGCGTGTGGGGAATTGGGTGCCAATTCTTTTTAGACTACAAAATCCAATCATAAACGAAAAAATAATTCCCAACCCCATGTCTTCTTTTGCAATTTTGTTATCTTCCTGTTAAGTGAGTTTTCAACTGAACACCATGCGATCGAATACTCATTTTCTCTTTGACATGGTTCTGCCAGTATAGTAATATAGGTTAATTACAATACAAAAAGATTTCAATTTTTCAGCAAAGTAGATTTATACATGTACGTTTATAAATTCTTAGTTGAGATCATTGGTTGTATAGATATTTTAAATATTTTTCTTTGCATCAAGATGTGTACTCGAAATAGTTCTTGATTGCCACATTTGTAGTACTTTTTTTTTAGATAATGGAAGCTTTATTAAGACTCAGTCAAATAAACCAAGATGATACATTTCAACTAAGCCCACCCCCGGCCTCTGCATAAAATGCACACAGCCAATAAAAGGACGAAACATACTTGGCTTAAATATTTTAAACTTTGGTATCCTAACCTAGATATACTTTCTCCAATAAAGCTAAGAGCTACGTAGTAGAACCATATGAGTTTTTCTCTGAATTTAGTTTCTCAATTTGCTCAAAACATCTGGCTTCATATATATGTGTGATAAGAGTAGATGTCAGGTTAGCATTTTATATTTTAGAGCTACCAAGATATGCCATCCTGCTAATATGAACATAACCCTTTTCTTTCAGGGTTTGTCCACTTTGTCGTGGTGATGTCTGCAGATCCAATGCATCAGGCATTGGAAAAACCACATGATCTTCTCTTCTGTGAGAAAAATGGAGCTTCTGACATTGTTTCTGATCCAATCCCAACAGAATTTGTAATACACGTGTTTCAGGTGTAATTTCACATATTCTTTCCCTCCTTCGATCAGGACAACTCAGAGTGCTCCTTCATGTGGTGGCAAATTTGCATCGCAGTCATCCCTGTTATAAAATCGATGAACTGCCATGTGAATTTGGAATTCTTGTATGGCAAGGGAAGTTTGTTGATATTAGGATTTCATTATACGTTTTCTTTGAGTGTTGTTTGAACTTGTTGAGACGATGACTGTCTTTTTAGATGCATCAGCCAACGACAACTTTCAAAATTGTGTTGTCATGCTGAAGCAATCAATAGATTTTTCATGCTATATGGGTTTGATGAGGCAAAGAGGCAGTTTGTGGCTACCTGGCAGTGCAGGAGTATCTTATGATTATAATGCGCTTAGTATCTTCTTAAGGATAAATGAAGTATAACTCTTATAGTCTTGTTGTATACACGTATACAATCATCGGCTAAATGTAAGTATAGACAAAACTGCCATCAGCTAAATGTTTATTGTACAACCAAACGGAGGAAAACGAAAAAAATGGTTATATACACCAATTACCATGCTATGAGCTCATAGTCTTGCTATATTTAATCTATTAGACTCGCTCTAACGTGGAATACAACTCATGTTATGATTGCCAAACCCAACTTAGATAAAAACTTCCAATTTGGGATGTTGGGCGATGCCACTTGGATTAATGCGAAAATCCACGTGGAATACAACTCATGTTATGATTGCCAAACCCAACTTAGATAAAAACTTCCAATCTGTCGTCACCAGCAAGCACAAATTGGGGGAGGGGGAGGGAGAATTAAAGATGGGAAAGAAGGGTATTTTGGTTTAAGAAAATATTTTGTCAATGATGAGCGTTTGAGAGTAGTAAATTAACGAAACCAATCTATAGAGTGATATATTAACGAGACTTACATTTTTTACAATGGCATAATTTCAAATTTCTCTACAAGGACATGTACGTCCCCTAACCTTCTCTTCCCTCGTCTTGCACTCTAGCGGTTACAATGGTATTGCTAGATTACAATGGTATTGCCGTACCCTAGCTCCTTTGAGGCCGGAGCCTGACATTATTGATGAGGAATACAATTTACCGCAACTTTAAAATAGGTCAAATGTACAGTTGACCCAAAAGAAAAATACTGAGAAGATACATAACGAGATGAGCCATTAACACACGATTAATTTAAGTATTAATTACTTAAAACTTAAAAAGTAAATTAATATGATTTTTTTGAAGCAAATTTATATAACTTTTTAAAGAAACTATCATTCAACAGTTTGGCCCGTGAAAATGTATGAAAATTTTCACTCGATTGTATCAGTAGCGACGCACCCTATTTTTTAGCATTTTGTTGTTTACCCATATACCCAGTGGGTATGGGTAAGATTCGGTGAGGGCTGGGCTACCATGGGTATGGGTATGGGTATGGGCTGCCGTGGGTATACCCATACCCTCTGCAACGGCTGATCCGTACGCGAAAAGGAAAAGAAAAAGGAAAGAAAAACCTAAAAAAAATAGCTGATAATTAAAAGAGAGGAAAAAAAAAACTCGCCCCGTCGTTCCCTCCTCAGCTCCTCTCCCCTCGGAAGTCGAAACCCTAAGAAACGCGTAGCGAAGGCGAGGCTCCCGAGAGAGAGAGAGAGAGCCATGGCGGTGGCGGCGCCGGGGCAGCTGAACCTCGACGAGTCGCCGTCGTGGGGCTCCCGCAGCGTCGATTGCTTCGAGAAGCTCGAGCAGATCGGCGAGGGCACATACGGGTAAGCCCCGAACCTATCGATTCTCCCCCCAATCTCAATTCGATTTCTAATCCCTTGAAAAACGCCGTTCCAATCCGGCTGCGTTGTTCGTAGGCAAGTGTACATGGCGAGGGAGACGGAGACGCAGGAGATCGTCGCGCTCAAGAAGATCCGCATGGATAACGAGCGCGAGGGCGTAAGTATCCGTGCCCCTGTTTCCGGCGATTTTGTGTCTCTCTCTCTTTTTTTTTGGTTTGATTGATGTATTCTTCATCGTTACGGTATCTGGCGTAGTTCCCCATCACTGCAATCCGCGAAATCAAAATCCTCAAGAAGCTGCACCACCAGAACGTCATCCAGCTCAAGGAGATCGTCACCTCGCCAGGTTTAACCAATGATTCGACATAGTAGAACATCTTGTGATTTACTGAAAAATCATCCTCTGTATCCAGAGGAATTGATGGATTTGGTTAATTGTTGCAGGACCGGAGAGAGATGAGCAGGGGAAACCAAGTACGGCTTTTTAAAAGAACGATAAATATTGATATTCTTGGGTTGCTGCATATATTTTTTTTTATGTTGAAGTTGTTATGTCGTTGTATAGTCCATGGTAACAAGTACAAGGGGAGCATTTACATGGTCTTCGAGTACATGGACCATGACTTGACTGGGTTGGCAGATAGGCCTGGGATGCGTTTCACCGTGCCGCAGATTAAGGTAAAACCATCCATTATGTTATGATGGCTCTTGGTTTGCTAGGAGGTAGTTCTTGATCCAATGATGGCAAGATAACTGGTATAACCTCTTGTACCAGTGTTACATGAAGCAACTCCTTACAGGCCTTCATTATTGTCACATTAATCAAGTTCTGCATCGTGATATTAAAGGTATACAACACTAAGCTTCGTTACATTTTATTCATCTCATAGTGATCATGATTTTGTGGTTTTTATGCTAAAATATTCCTGATTCAAAATCTACTCTTGCAGGATCCAATCTCTTGATAGACAATGAAGGTAACTTGAAGCTGGCTGATTTTGGCCTAGCAAGATCATTTTCAAATGATCATAACGGAAATCTCACTAATCGTGTGATCACTTTGTGGTACAGGTATTGCAGAATTATGAACTTGCCATTGAATTTTGCATATTGTGTTATGGTATTTAGTTTTTGCTTGGATCATGCTGACCATTTGCCAATGATTTTCAGACCTCCAGAGTTGCTGCTCGGAAGCACCAAGTATGGACCAGCAGTTGACATGTGGTCTGTCGGTTGTATTTTTGCAGAGCTTCTCAATGGAAAGCCAATTCTGCCAGGAAAGAATGAGGTACGATTTCTTCAGGATTTGAGCTAGTAACATCACTATCTTAGGATTAGCAATTCATATGGTAAGTTTTTTACTAGTCTTGGTATCTTGGAGTTGGATGTGTTCTGAACTAATATCTTATTGTGCTACCGTTGAGGAAATTTATGATTCTACCTCATGTTGACCAAAAGAAATACGGATTCTTTGTTGTCATAATTTGTTTAAATGCTATTAACAGCTGTTTCTGTTTATTACTATGATTATCGACAAAACTTATGTTTAAGAATGCTTTCTGATGAAGTGATGTGACTTCTGCATACATGTGAAAGTGAAACCAGAGTGTATAGATAATGGAACAAATTGATAGATTTGTGCAATTTAGAAGGTAGAATGAAACTTTAGGAAGTTCCCTATATTTAGTGTACTGCCTTCAGTCATAAATTAAACTTTGCTGCTGCAGCCACCAGGGAAAAACATGATTCATCCTGCAGCCCTGTACACGAAAAATGATTTGCACCTAGTGCATGCTCATTTACTGAATTTGTTTTAGAAGTTGAGAAATGCCTTTATGCTTTCCCAAGAGGAACATGAACTTAACACATTCACTGTGGGTCAGCTTTATGAATCTTAATTTGTTTCAAGACCTGTGGGGTTACTTTGTACATGACATGAACTCTGAACACGGTAACTCCCTGTCTGACCTAGCTCTCCCTCACCTTAGACAAATGCAATCAGTCTCTTGAATTGTTTCATTGCTGTCATACATTCGAAGCTTGAATATGTAACTTAATCTAGTTAATAATGCACATTTGTGAGTGAACTTTTGTCGCTCTGCCTTTTTATGCAGCCAGAGCAACTGAGCAAAATATTTGATGTTTGTGGCACACCTGATGAATCAAACTGGCCGGGTGTCACAAAAATGCCTTGGTACAACAATTTCAAGCCTCCCCGCCAACTGAAGAGACGTGTAAAGGAGTACTTTAAGCAGTAAGTATTATACTCGTATTGTTTGAAACTTGCTTGGCTACTCTTCCAGGTTACTTAACCTTTATTTGTTTTCAGTTTTGACAGGCTTGCTCTGGATCTGCTTGAAAAGATGTTAACACTAGATCCAGCACAGGTATATTTTCTTCTTTTAGTTTGCTTACTCTGTTGACATAGGAAATGCCCGTACCTGCGTATTTCCTCAGCTGTCATTGCATTTCATTACTGAGCTGTAAGTTGACATGATTTTGCGCTGTTCAGAGGATATCAGCACAAGATGCACTTGATGCAGAGTATTTCTGGTCTGATCCCCTACCATGTGATCCTAAAAGGTAGTGATCATGGCCTTCTCTCCTGTTCTTGCCATCTAAGGTTGCTATTTTGGATCTCTTCTTTCTTTATTTGATCATATCCTTTTCATTTGGAATAATGCAGCTTGCCAAAGTATGAATCTTCACACGAGTTCCAGACCAAGAAAAAACGCCAACAAATGCGTCAAGCCGATGAAGCTGCGAAGAGGCAAAAGACACAACATCCTCAACCACATGGCCGTTTGCCTCCAATTCAACAAACAGGACAGCCCCATCCTCAAATCAGACCAGGCCAGCCGATGAACAACCCCCATGCGCCGATGGCTGCTGGGCCAGGCCATCACTATGCAAAACCCAGAGGGCCAGGAGGCTCAAGCAGGTATCCACAGGGTGGGAACCAAGGTGGAGGATATCCGAACCGCGGCGGACAAGGTGGTGGTGGCAGCTATGGAAATGCCCCTTACCCTCAACAAGGTCGAGGGCCGCCGCCACCGTACCCTGGCAGTGGAATGGCCGGAACAGGTGGCCCAAGGGGTGGCGTTGGTGGTGGCTATGGAGGAGGATCAAATTATCCCCAGCAAGGCGGCCCATATGGTCCTTCTGGCCCAGGCCGAGGGTCAAATTATCCCCAACAAGGTGGTTCTCGCAACCAGCAGCAGTACGGAAACTGGCAGTAGTACGTTACCTAAACTCAGCAACACTATGCCAATTGTCTTAAACTCTGATGTTGATGCTAACTTGTGCTTAATCTATTCTATTGGGCATTACATTTTGTTAGAGCGTGTATTGCCCTGAATCCAGTAGGAATTGTAGCAATGTTGTTCGTTTTGATTAAAGAATGATAAGAGATACACAAATTGAGCAACAAGCAAATTGTCTTGAATTTTCACTAGTTGGTTTGGTAATTACAGCTATTTTACAAGTTAAAATGGTACTTTACACGTCGAAGAAATTAATGTGTTCTATTAGGCATTACGTTTGTTAGAGCGTGTATTGCCTGAATCCAGTAGGGATTGTAGCAATGTTTTTCGTTTTGATTAAAGCATGATAAGTCACAAGTTGAGCAACAAACAAATTGTCTTGAACTTTTCACTTGTTAGTTTGGTATAATTACAGCTATTTACAAGTTCCAATGGCACTCTTTACACGTCGAAGAAACTATTCAGATTCGGAGTCTGCTTCGTTGGTGTAGAGCCGGCCGTCGTCTGCTCTTGCGGCGTAGTCGCCGCCGCCGTCTTCTTGGGCTCAGGCTCGTCGACGTCCTTGCGCTCGTAGTAGTGCGGCGCGATCTCCACCAGCCACTCCGGCTTGAGCTCCGTCACCTGCCTCATGTACTCCTTGGTCGTGAGCACCAGCTCGTGGTACAACGCCCACCGCGGCGGCGCCTGCGCCACCCCGGAGCTCGGGTGGACGAACACCGTCTGCCGGCTCTTCACGGCGCGGTACGACCCGTCCCTCTGCAGCCGCGCAGCGTGGCGGAAGTAGCCCGCCGTGACCGCCTTCCTGACCGCGTCGAGGTCGCCGCCGCCGGCGGAGGAGCACGGCGCGATCTCCACCCGCTCAAGCAGCGCCCCCAGCTGGTCCCGCACGTCCCGCGCGCGCCGCATGGTGCGGTGCTGCACGAAGCTCTCGCGGCACCACTGCGGCGAGTAGCCGGACTCCGCCCACGCGTTGTACACGTTGAGCAGCGCGACGTGGTCGCCGGCGTTGCCGGCGTGGAACGCCCGCCGTGCGGCGTCGGCGTGGACCCGCTTGTCCCTTGGGCGGTAGAAGACGGCGTTCCCGGCGGACAGCATGGCCGCGATGGTGATCACCTCCTCGGAGCACCCGTACCTCTCCGACGCGACGATGGCCTTGGAGAGCATGGGGTCCAGGGGGAACTCCGCCATCCTCCTCCCGGTCTTGGTGAGCTCGCCGCGGCTGTTGAGCGCGCCGAGGGCGAAGAGCTCCTCCAGCGCCCTGAGCAGCGACTCCGCCGGCGGCGGGTCCATGAAGTCGAAGCCGACGAGGTCGTTGATCCCGAGCGCCTTGAGCGCCAGCACGACGCTGGCGAGGTTGCTCCGCTGGATCTCCGGCACCGCGTCGTCGTCGAGGTCGCTGACGAAGTTGTACTCCGTGTAGAGCCGGAAGCACTCGCCCGGCCCGGTGCGCCCCGACCGGCCGGCGCGCTGCTCCGCCGACGCCCTCGACACCGGCGCCACCAACAGCGACTCCATCCCGGTGCGCGGGTTGTACGACTTCACCTTGCAGAACCCCGGGTCGACCACGTACTTGATCCCGTCGATGGTCAGCGACGTCTCGGCGATGTTGGTGGCGAGCACCACCTTGCGCGCGCCCGCCGGCGCCGGCTCGAAGATCTTGGCCTGCAGCTCGGCGGGGAGGTTGGCGTAGATGGGGCAGATCACCAGCTCCGCCACCTTGCCGCCGAGCACCCGCAGCCGATGCCTCAGGATCTCCTCCACCGTCTCGATCTCCTCCTGCCCCGTGAGGAACAGCAGGATGTCGCCGCCGCCGGGGGGCTCCGTGACGTGCAGCTGCAGCACCGTCACGACGGCGGCGTCGATGTAGTCCGCCTCCGGCGCCACGGTGTAGTGGATGCCCACCTCGAACCGCCGCCCGGGGATCCGGAAGACGGGCGCCGCGTCGAAGAAGTCGCTGAACTTGTCGGCGTTGAGCGTCGCGCTGGAGATGAGCAGCTTCATGTCAGGGCGGAGGCGGGCGATGTCCTTGACGAGGCCGAAGAGGATGTCGGTGGCGAGCGTCCGCTCGTGGGCCTCGTCGACGACGACGACGCTGTAGCTGCCCAGGTCGGGCTCGCCGAGGAACTCGCGGAGGAGCATCCCGTCGGTCATGTACTTGATCACCGTCTTCTCCGACGTGCAGTCCTCGAACCGGATGGAGTAGCCGACCTCGTGCCCGAGCTTGACGCCCATCTCCTCCGCCACCCTCGCCGCCACGCTCATCGCCGCCACGCGCCGCGGCTGCGTGCACGCCACCTTCTTCCTCCCCCCCGCCGTGTACCCGACCTCGTGGAGGTACTGCGGTATCTGCGTCGTCTTGCCGGAGCCGGTCTCGCCGACGACGATCAGGACCTTGTGCTCGTCGATGGCCTTGAGCAGGTCGTCCTTGAGCTTGTACACCGGGAGAGTCTTCCTCTCGTCTTGCAACGTGGCCTTGGCATCCATGGCCTCGGCATGGTACTCGTCGGCCGCCGCCGCCGCCGCCGTGTCGTCGTCGTCTGCAGGCGCGGTGCCCGCCATCACCGTCGACCTGACGAACTCGACGCCGTCGTCGAACAGGAGCTCGTACTCGTCGCCGCGCCGGCCGCGATCCATGGATCCGAACTGCAGCCTCGACTTCCGTATCTGCTGCTCCTCCCAGGCCTCCTGCTCGGACAAGGCGTTCGCCGTCTTGCCGTCCCTCGCCGCCTCAGCTGGCTCCTCGTACCGCCGCCGCGCCACCGAGAACCTCTTCTCCTGATCGACGTTCGCGGCGGCGTCGTAGGCGTCCGGCATTCTGTAGTAGTCGTCGCGATCGTGCACGAGGCCGTAGACTTGCTTCTTGTGCCTCATGTCCCTCTCCTCGGCGGCCGTCAGCTGGACGCCGGGGAAGAGGAACTCGTGGTCGACGATCTCGTCGCGCATCTCCTCGACCTTCTTCTCCTTCCGCCTCTGCAGGTACGCGCGCCGGGAGAGCCTCCTGAGCCCCGAGGTGTCGTTCTTGTCCATGGCGTCCGACCGGCGCGCGAGCTCGCCCTGCTCCCGCTTGGTCGTCTTCCGATCCGTCAGCCTCCTCGTGCTCGCCGCGTCGCGCTCCCTGATGTTCCGCTCGAGCTGCGCCCTCTCGATCTGATCCCGCTCCATCTCTTCTTCCTCGCCGGCGTCGCCGTCCTCCTCCTCGTCGTCCGGGCTACGCCGCCGTCGCGCGTTCCGTCCGGCATCGTCATCGTCTTCGCCCACGGCCTTCCTCCTGAAACGCTTCCTGCCGCCGCTGGAGGGCGACGCGGAAACGCCGATCTCGCCGTCGTCGTCGAGCAGCTTGATGGTGCTCTGCTTCTTGGCCATCGCCGCAGCCTCCTGCATCTGCCTCTGGTACTCGCTGACCCCGGCGTCGTCGCCGCCGCCGCCGCAACTGCGGGGCACCCTCCCGTACACGTCCTCGGCGAACGCGGCGGTGTCGGGGGAAGGCGGGAACCCGGCGAGGTCGACGAGCCGCGCCGCGAGGTCACCCGCGGAGGCGCACTCCCGCGCGAGGCGGACGACAAGCCGCGCCACGAGGCCCTGGGAGTATCCGAGGAGCGCCATGAGGCGGTCGGAGACCCACGTCCTGAGCTGGCCATCATCGCTCGCCGCCATGGCCTCGGCCTCCGTAGCCTCGTTTGCGGCGGCGGCGCGGCGGTGCCGCGAGAGGCGGTATCGAAGGGGGTTACGGGCTTGGGCTTTGTGGTCGCCGGTCGGTGGTGCGGCCAAGGCCGCTTTATCCGTGCGTGACCGTGTTTGTGTTTGACGTATTCGACGTGGAGGTGGCTCCGCTATGGCGGTTCGTGTCAGTGCTGGGAAACCGGGAACCGACGCAAACCGACTTTGAGTTTGGCGCATGTTTTTTTTTTAATAACCCCGAGCATAAGTCAAATACACGTGCATACGTCACACTTGTGCTACACACATTTGAGTGCGACTCAACTGGCGTATTTGTCTCTGGTCAAAATTTTGGTAATGAACTGGTAGGGTGTAGCCAGTTCAAAATTTATGTCACTACTAAATTACCATTTTTCATATCACCGTCCGTTTATTTTATTGACGGGTTAAAAAAACACACGCTTGTGAAAATACATTTTGGAGATTATGGTCATGAACCGCTAGTGAGAATCGACTTTCGCTAACAGTCACTTAAAAGGTCCACTTGTAAAAATAGAGTGTTTTTACAAACGGGTCTATTAAGTCATCGTTGCGAAAAAATCAATTTTCATTGGATAAAGAGGATCGTAAGGAAAAAAAATCGACATAATAAAAGAGGAGTCCTTGACCAATCCACCAGCTGAGTCCCTCTCCTTCATCCTCTCCCTTACCTCTCCTTCCTCCCTCTCCCTTCAGCTTCTGGGTCATTTAACTTTTTGTCACTTTTAAAATGTGGCAATTAGGAATTTGTTATTCACAATCTATGTGAGCCCTCACATGTCTATGATATGTGGGTCCAATAGCAAATCCTTAATTGTCACAAGTAATAGTGGCAAATAGTTAAATATTTCTCCACCTTATGTACCAGTCTCCTTCTCCCTCCTCCTTTCTAGAAAATTGTGATTTTTCTATCGCAAAAGAATGGTTTCGCTGGAATACTATCCCTTCAAAGTGATTCATTAAAATGCTATTCTAAACTAAGGCTGCATTCTATACCCATGGTTCCCAACTTTCCTCCATCGTTTTACGCACACACGCTTTTCAAACTGCTAGACGGTGTGTTTTTTGCAAAAAAAAAATTCTATACGAAAGTTGCTCAAAAAATCATATTAATCCATTTTTGAAAAAAAAATAGCAAATACTAAATTAATCGCGTGCTAATCGCTACTCCGTTTTCCGTGCTAGGAAGTGAGGTTCCCAACCCTCACTCCCGAACACAGCCTAAGAGGTGTTCACTGAAATGCTATTTTGGATCTTTTTGGTTAGTACTAATGTTTTTACTCTCTTTTAGTTTTTCTCCGGACCAAAATGCCCTCGCCTCTATGTCCTCCTTTCGCCCAGGATAATGGCTGGTTGACACATGCTTTGCTCTAGCAAAATATATTGCTATATATTTGTGAAACCTATGCACGGCTCACGCTCCGCTGCGTGATATATATATACTAATTGATCATTAACACTAATACAAAAGCTCTAGTGCACTGGTTTGAAAGTCAAACAGCACTTCTCTGGTTTTGACACATGCTTTGCTATAGCAATATATTTTGCTTTCACATTTTGTACAATTAAAAATGGTGTGTAGTCCAGTTCAGCCACAAGCGCGCATACACATCAAGATTTTTCTCACTCCAAGTTATAAAGATATAATGGAGAAGCTAGCTTAACCCATAAAATTTGGGCATGAAAAAATTGTAAAAACAAAATAGAACAAATTTGGACAGCATGTAGACATAATATTGAATAGCATGTGGTTCACAAAATACCTCACATAACAATGGTTCACAACATAACAGTAGTTCACAACATACCAGTGGTTCACATGCACCATGGTTCACAACGTAATAAAGACAAGGACACAAGGGTATTTTGGTCAGAACAAAACTTAAAATAGAGTAAAATCATTTCTAGCAATCAAAAAGATCTAAAATAGCATTTCAGTGAACACCCTTAGTTTATGATAGCATTTAATGAATCACTTTGAAGGGATAGCATTCCAGCGAAACCATTCTTTTGCGATAGCAAAATCACAATTTTCTCCCTCCTTTCGCCTCCTTCCCTACCGGCGTCGCTTGGATTCCACAGGTGTGTGCCCCTCTCCTCGTCCTTCCCCATGGGTGGTGGTGAGCTTGGGCGAGCCTCGCAGGCTGTATGTGGTGGTGACTCAGGCGAGGCGCGCGGGTGAAGCTAGGGTGAGGCGTGTGGGTGACAGATCTGGTAGCGGCGACTTGGTTCGATAGTGGATTCGTCGGCGGACCTCGCGCGAGGCACATGGGCGGCGGATCCGGTGGCAGCGACTCCGTTCAGCGGCGGATCCGATGGCATCGAGTCTCGCGGGCGGTGGAGCTCGAGCTGGGCATGCGGGCGGCGGATGCGACGACGACGACGACTTGTGCGGGATGGTGGATCCGATGGCAAGGCATTAGCGGTAGTCCGGTGGCAGCAACTTGCGTGGGTGGGAAGGTACAAGCGGTAGTTCGGCTGATCCAGTGACAACAAACCGTGCTCCAACGAGGCGTGCGTCCTCTGCCTCTCTTTTTTTTTTCTCTTTTCTATTTGTTCTTTCCGTTCTCTTCCGGATCCATGTTGGTATGATGCAAATGATTTGATTTGTATTTTGTGTTTGATCTATGGAAATGGGCAGGGAGCTAGGGTTCCTAGGAGAGCAATGATGCAGATGATTTGTTTTGTTTTTTGTGTTTGATATGTGAAAGTGGGCAGGGAGTTATGGGGGAGCAGGGTTTCTAAAAGTTTTATTTTTTTCACTGAAAATCTATGTTGCTGGCTTAACCTCACCATTTGCAAAAATGATTTTCACAAGTGGTCGGCTTAACATAGCTGCTTCTGGAAATCAATTTTCACTGACATTGTAGGACCCGCTCGCGAAGATTGTCGATTTTCACTGGCTTTTGATCTCACGGTATTACCAGCCGACCGACTGTAAAAACCTATTTTGACCGCCTGCGAAAATCATTTCTATTTTGTAGCGGCTTTTAAGTGCCGCTACGAAAGAGGCAGCAATCGTAGCCAATCAATGCCGATGTGTAGTTTGCTATCAATATGTTTGGTATAGCAAAGAAAGTTAAGTGTTGTTAAATTGAGTATGGAGCAATGGGAGATTAAAAAAAAGATTGAGTATGGGAATTATCCATGCTTTGACTCTAATCCAACCCAATCACATTATCATTAGAGTTGCCAAATAATCGTCATGGCACATTTTGACACAGATCCAAAATGGCCCAACACTCATCTAAACAGGATTGGAGGCCCTAGCCCACAAGCGCCAATTTTTTTTGAGAACTTTGACATCTATTCTTCACGTCTTGCACCATAGTTGTTCCTATTTATTTGAGCTTACATTTTTAATAAGTTCATAATATTGTAAGACGTAAAGATTTTTAGTAACCAACGCGGCTGGAAATATGTTGACTCATTCATCATTTATCATTTATAAACGAAAAACCCATCCGAAAGCTAACTTGATCTGCAAGAACAATTGACTTGTGAACCCAGAAGTCAAAGTAGATACTCCAACATCGTCCGAACTCGTAAGATTTTCCAGGATTTGCAGATACCGACATACGTCGTTTGGATGAAACGGTTGCTAGGGCAGCTTCCGAGAAAATCACTGTAAAATAGTACTAGCCCATAGCTCCAACGAATGATGGCAGTAGCCAGATGAGCTAGCTGTTGACCAACAAGGTTCAGTTGCCCAGATTGCATCGTGCTGCTACGCAAATGGGCTGCGTGCCCCTCATGGTGGGCTGCACACGTTCGGAATGCTCATCATGAATTCCGAACCTGGAAAAAGTTCACTTTAGGTACATCATCTTGACGTCGAGTTTAACTTGCATACTTAAACCACAATACCAGATATAATGCATCCCTAAATTTACAAAACCAGTGTACCAATTACCTGAAGCAGTATAATACCTGTTTTGGTTGACTTAGCGAGTAGATCCCATATGCTAGCAACTCACTCTTCTTCCTTCTCCCTCCCCCTCTCCCCTCTTTCCCATCCCTCTTCAGAATAGGTGGCGAGAGATGGGGAGAAGGAAGGCTATTGGCGGGAGGCAGTGGTAGGGAGACGCGAGCTAGTGAGCGCGAGTCCGTGAGCACGGGAGCCTAGAGGAGGAAGAACACGACCCTTCCAGTCCGCTGCAACCATCGCTCCTCTCCAAGACCGTCCTTCTCCACGCTGCTTGCCACCTCTAGTAGGTCACCGTGCACCACCCCCTCCCCCTTGTCGACAACCCTTTTCCCAGCCGCTTGCTACCCTCCCGTTGGCTGCCTCTCCCTATTAGCCGCCACCCTTCTCCCCACCACTCAAAGCCCTCCCATCAACTTCTGCTCAAAGGCTTGGTGAGAATCTAAGAGAAGGGGAAGTGAGGGAAGAGGTGGGAGGAGGAAGATTTAGCCACTGACATGTGAGGCCCGTGCAATATACCGCTCTGGGACCTCGGGCAAACCAGTTTTATAAGTTGAGGGACACGTTATATCCGGTATTGCGGATAAAGGAAATAATTCAAACTTGACACCAAGATAAGAGATCTAAAGTGAACTTATTCCTTCTGGACTTTCGCTAGCGTTGACGGCTCAGTAACTTTAATAGTAAAATTCATCGTTTTTTATTAGCACGTTTTCTGTACTGCTAAACCATGTATTTTGTGTAAAATTTATCTATATAAAAGTAAAACAAATTAAATAAACCTAATTTTTAAATTTATAATAATTAATATTCGATAAATTATACGTTCATGGGCTTTCACTTCCCGTCAAAATTCTAAGTTCAATTCCTCAAAGCACCCTCAGCTTATTCTCTTCTCTGATTTTAATACAAGAAAAGATGACACGGAACAAGCATCTGGACGACCTTGGACAATGCGCAGAGATAAGGGAGCATCGCATCGCATCTCGCAAGTTCACAACGCGTTTTGGTCGATGAATCAACAGGAACAGGTTCTTCCATGTACATGCCGACACCGATGCACGTTTTTACACTTTGCATACTCTCCGCGAACCAGATCTCCCCATTCTCCCCGCCCACCCACCCGCGCGCGCTGAGGCTGTGGCTGTGACTGCGACTGCGACTGCTTTTCCGCCCGGCAACGGGCCGGGGCCGCGTGCGCTGCGGCTAATTAGGCTGGCGCCGGACGAGGCGGATGTGGCTGCTGTGGCGGTGGTGCGCGCCGTCGACGGCGCCGTCGTGCCCGTGTTGCCCCTCACCGTGGTGGTCGTCGTGGTCGTCGAGGTGCCAGCTGTGGCGGTCGGGCTGGACCCAGCGGCCGTCGGGGGCGCGGACCATGCCCTTGTTCTCGTCCTGGCGCCAGCACGGGGGCACGCAGTGGTGGTCCTTGAGGAAGTCGCACGCCTTGTTCACCAGCGCCGGGTCGCGCCCGCTCGCCAGCACGAACCGCTCCCCGCGCCCGTGGTACCTGCATGCACCAACGCCATCGCGCACATGTACACACCGTCACCGACCGATCGATACAGAAAACGCAGGACTAGTAGTAGTACTCGGAACGATGATATAACCTCTATCCAGAATACTTGTCAAGTTTTTTTTTAACTTTTAATCCATCATCTTATTTAAAAAATTATAGATTTATTTTTTATTTTTTATTTACTTTATTGTCAAAAGTACTTTATGATTTCTCTGTTTTTATATTTGTATTAATTTTTTAAATAAAACGAATGGTCAAAGAAAAAAAAAAGTCAAAGCAACTACTAATTTACTAATTTATGACGGAGGGACGGAGGTAGTATATGCTAATCTATCTATCTATCTATCTACTATTATATACTAAAAGTCCATTAAACGTCCTACAAACGCTCCTAAGCCGTCATGTGGCATCCTATAAACACTATCGAGTCGCCACGTGACAAATCATAAAAAATCTATCTATTATATACTTAAAAGTCCATTAAACTTTCTACAAACGCTCCTAAGCCGCTATATGTCATCCTATAAACACTCTTGAGTCGCATTGATTTTCCGTTAAATCAGTGGACCCATATATTTTAACCATTAGATCTCTTCCGGAAAAAAAATCCGGTAGCCCCATCCCTATCATGCGCAGGTACTCCCTCTGACCTCTCTTTTCCTCTCCTATTTTCTAGGTAACTACTCCTATTTTTTAGCTAATTACAATTAGATCTATCTAAGATTTCCTAGCTATGTTTATCTTTGTAAGATTTGCACGTACAAAAAGTTCCACATACGTACGTACATACGTACTCTCACTTTTTTTCCCTTGATGAGATAGAAAACCAAATTAATAATTCAATACACATATTAACTGTTAATATTTTAAGTTGTAAAAATACACATTAGTAAATTAGAAAATATTTCTAGAAAAATACGAGGAAAAAAGCAAAACATCTGGTCATCGATTTTTATTTAAATTAGTGGATATGTTATCTCGGATCATTAAATTAAATATATTAATAACCTTACACCTAATCTCTCTCAGCGCACCGACGAGAGAAAGGTACTTACACACAGCTAATAAAAAAACCAAAAAATACATATATAACTGTAATGTGTGATTAAAAAGGATAAAATGGAAAAAAACATAAATTTTTATTCCATGTATCATTAAAAATTACATCCGCTTCCATCTCCTCCTCTCTTTTCTCCATGCATGTATAGATGAGATTGTAACTATAATTAGTGATATTAAATTTTAAAGAACTATAACTTTATAAACATAGATTATATATATCATAATATATACGTAAATAAATTAGATCCATAATCTTTGGAAATAAAATTTATTGGACTCTGTTATTTCACCCATTATATTAACAATATAATATAATTTTATTTCGAACCATTATTTTAAAAACACACGGTTTAAAATAAAGGTTACAGAACTATGTTTTGTACCATTAAATTACCAATTTATGATCTATATTAACTAATTTATACTTCAATTAGTGGACTCACTATTTTAAATTATTTTTAATAAAATATTTTGCCATCGATTTTTACTTAAACTGACGGACCTATTAATTAATTAGGCAGACATATCTATCTTACGTAAAAAAAGAAAAAAAAAGCTTCTAAAGACCTATCTTCAATCCTCTGCACAACACACGTGTTCATATTTGCCTTCTGCAGATATAACAAAGCTTCGTAGCTGAGGTAGCTAAAAGTGATTGCCAAAGTGATCATGATTGTCGATAAACACTACACATACTAATTAAATTTATATAATTTCTCTCTTATTTCAAACAAATATTATTTTGAAGAAAACAATTGAACATGTGAAAAACAAAAAAAAATAGCTTCAAATAATTGCTGATATTTTTGCACTACTAAACCAAGCATTTGTGCACTACTAAACCAAGCAATTGTGTAGGTGATTTGTGCCCTAACATAAAAAGCCTTTAATTCTTTAAAAGTGTGGAAAAATATGAACATTTTGAACTTCTACGAAGGGAAGAACAATGCAACCGTTAATCTATCCTTAATTTGGTTGTTACTAAATCATGCATCTTCATGAGGCGATTCAATCACAATAACTTTAAATTTCTTACTATTTATAGTAATATTGTACAGTATGTGTTCAGATGGTATACATATTATTTACTTACTATTTACTTACTAGATCCAATAGTCGACCTCATATAACCTTGATTTATCTTCTAAGTCGATAAATGATATTTAGACATGCCCAACCTATAATTTACCTTTATAAGGTACAATTTCCAAAAAAACTATAATATCACGTTTTAATAATACGAATGTCCACGGACCACCTTTCTAGTTAATATACAGATTGCCAATGGCAAAATATACGTCTCAGCCAACGATAGAAAACGACAAATATTGACTAGACCAATGACACGCCGTACGTGTGTTTTGGTCCGCCTTTGGTAGTTGCAGCCGCTGGCTGGCCGGCTGGTTGATGTGGCTCAGGCAGTCAGGCTCACGTTGGTTTCGTAGAGTAAATGGGGAGCTATGCCCCCCGTCTGGCATGACAACTTGATGATTGCTCCGGTACAAGGGACCCGGTTTCTTGAAAACTCTAGTATAGCACCATGACAGTAGCCACACCACCATGGTGTGGTAGTATTCATTAATCAGGTCGCATTGTGCATTGATCCTACCGTATTGATCAACATTTATTGAGCTGTCAAACAGGCTGGCATCCCACTTAAATAAACCCGACCTTGCTGAACCCCCTTGATAGGAGTAGACAACCTTAACAGAACCTCAAACCGCAAACTTTCAGCGAGGCCTGGTTTAGTTCCTAGTAACTTTTTTTTCAAACTTTTAACTTTTCCATCCCATCAAAACTTTCCTACACACATAAACTTCTAACTTTTCTATCACATCATTCCAATTTTAATTAAACTTTTAATTTTGACGTGAACTAAACACACCCTAAGACTTCGCAATATGATCAGTACAGTATAATATGTGAGTTGTGGGGTGTGTTTAGTTCACACAAAAATTAGAAGTTTGGTTAAAATTGAAACGATGTGACAGAAAAGTTGGAAGTTTGTGTGTAGAAAAGTTTTGATGTGATGAAAAAGTTAAAAGTTTGATGAAAAAGTTTAGAAATAAACTCAGCCTATAATACAAATTGCAGCAAATGTATGCAGTGTAATCTATGCACAACCGTACTAGCTAATACTCATGGTTAGCAAGTCGTCATAGGGAGGAACATGTCTTCAAGAGATTCAACATCTTAATACGTGATACGAGTAGAGACCGCAAATTGTTCAACCAAAGGACATCACCACTATCACCAAATGCTATCAGCTGTGTCCTTTTTAAAAATTTTGTCATGAACCAATAAATTTGGCACTTGTAGTTATTTATTATGTTTTGGAAAATAGAAAAGTACGCATGTTCTAGATGACGGATCACGCACGCTAGCTATATCTCAAACAAGATCACACTATCATTGCCATCTCTCATAAATAAAAGAGAGAGAGGATCATATATCATGAGTAGTATCATATAATTGCATCTCATGTCCCTGTATGACTAATAGGCGATATGATCGATCTATACTAGTATACCACATGATCACATGATTTTTTTAAACACATGCTGAATGCAAGCTGCCACCTACTACTATACATATACTGTACTATGTTGCATTCCTGTAATAAACTGGCCAAGTGGTCGACCTTCTGCCCTCCGGTCTTTAGTCTCTTACTAGGCCATAATCTCGTCATTAAGAGTACTAATTCTTCTTCAAAGAAAAAATAATTAATAAGAGTACTAATGAGATGACTTGACCGCTTCAGAATATTCCTGGGCCGAACCACCTTTTCTATCGTTGATTACTTGTAGGCGTTCGAGAATTTATACTCTTACCCGGTGACCACGCTACTGTCATTTTCTACCGTCTGTTTAGCCCTTTCAACCATTTCAATGTACTTAAGTCTATGACACAGCCCGTTTCAGGCGACGTCATCACCTTCAAGTTGTTAGCTTATACTAAACCACTGGGCCGGCGTGACTGAGATAGGCATGCGGTGACGTTTAGGGATTAGGTAGTTTCGTTTTATGTCAAAATAAATTTATTAAATTTTGTTGACGTCAAATTTTGTTATTGTTTTTTTAAAATGAAATAGGCATAGAAAGACCTCTTTGGTTTGACGTCCTACCATTTTAGGTTGGTATGCAGATGTAGTGATGTATTCAGGGTTACTAAATATTCAGTGATAGTGGTTTGTTAAAATATTGCGTTTGTCGCCTTATTTCAAGAACTTTATTTTTTACCGAAATCAATTGAGTTCTGACTTTCAAAAGTTAGCTTTTTGATAGTACGAATTAAAAACGTGCATGTAGTGATGTATTCGGAGCTACCGAATCTTGTTGTGAACTTGTGATTAAGTGGTTTATTAAAATATAGCTTTTGTCACCTTATTTTATAAGAACCATTTTTTTTACCGAAATCAGTTCAGTTCTGACTTTCAGAAATTAGCTTCAGATATTTGAGCATATGGATGAGGAGGTAGTGAAAACGTGCAAATTACCAGATGTAGGGAAGTATTTGGAGTTACCAAATCTTCTCGTGATTGAGCGGTTGGTTAAAAAACTTAATATAGTGCTTTTGTTGCCTTATTTCAACTCCTTTTTTTTTTTACCAAAATCGGCTCGGTTCTGACTTTCAAAAGTTGGCTTTCGGAGATTTGAGCATGGATGATGAGGTAGGTACCAAATGTGCAAAGCTGATGAGGTCAAGTTGAGATGGTCACCATTATTAGTTTCTAATGAACATTAAATAGGATAGAAAATAAAAAAACTATTAACACATGATTAATTAAATTTCAATTATTTATATAAACTTAAAAAATAAATTTATTTAATATTTTAAATTAATTTCATCTGAAAGTATTTTATGCAAGTTTTATATTAAAAAGGGCGTATTTAAAAAACTACCGCAAGTTTTTTTAATTAAAAACTTTCAGTGTAGCTATATTTTAACTACACTAAACTAGGATATAACTTATATAAAACTTGTATTCAAGTATAGTTTGGTTTAGTTAGTTAGTACTGAGATTTTAAGTACAACATTTTCTATCGATTTTTTTCATGCACATATTTGGAGACATATGTGGAGACAATCTCATGGTTGCAAATCTAAAAGTTTTAGGGACCAAGAAAAACCTACGAAAGTTTTATTTTTTAGTAAATTTAAAAAACGAACTATCATCTTAATCAGAAGTGAAGGAGGGCTTACCCGTCGAGGAGGTGGAGGTGCGCCTCGAGGTTGTGGAAGCAGGCCGGGTCGAGCGTGTCCTTGAGGAACGGCGACCGCTTGTGGTCGAGCGCGAGCTCCACGCCGACGTGCGCGTAGCACCACGGCACCCGGAGGATGCCCTCCGCCACCCGCCGCAGCGCCGCCGGCGCCCCCTCGTTCAGCAGGATCCCCGGCATCCGCGCCACCCCGTCGTGCACGTTCACCACCCGCAGCGCCTTCACCCCGAGCTCCCCCTCGAACCTCTCCTTGAACCTCGCGTTCCCCACCCTCGGCCCCGCGAACGAGTACACGCACACCGCCGCCGCCGCCTCCTTCCCGCCGCCGTGCGCCGCGCTCGCGGCGCCCGACTCCGCGATGTCGTACGCGCTGATCATCGCCAGCGCGCTGCCGAGGCTGTGCCCCGTCACCGTCACGCTCACGTCCTCGCCGAGCGCGGCGTAGCGGGTGACGAGGCGGCGGACCTCCGTGAGCACCTGCTCGCGCGCGGAGTACTTGCAGAAGCGGCAGGTGGGGTCCTTGTCGGTGTAGAGGTCCACGAAGCCGGACTCCACCTTCACCTCCCGGTCCGGGCACGGGATGCCCTCGTCGGCGACGGGGCGGAGGAAGTCCATGAGGTCGGAGACCCACTCGAGGCGCGTGACCGTGCCGCGCCACGCGATGGCGATGTCGCGCCGGCCCAGGCGCGCGGTCTCCTCGTCGGTGGAGACGGCGACGTAGCCGATCCAGTTGGCGCGCTGGCTCCAGATCTTGGCACCCGCGCGCGACTGCGAGAAGAAGTTTGGGAAGCGGAAGTTGGAGGTGGCGTAGAGGTAGCGGGTCACGGTGTAGCCCCGCGCGGCGGCGGGCATGCCGAGGCGGTCGAAGAAGGCGCGGCGCGGGTACTTGCAGCTGCCGCAGTAGCGGGAGGACGGGTCGTAGTCGAAGGCGTCGTAGCACGCCTGCGCGAACTCGCCGTAGCGGATGAGCTCCGAGCGGAGCAGCGGGTCCATCGGGTCGAGCAGCCCCGCCCAGTCGTCGCGCCCGTGGATCTCCCGCCACCGCGCCGCCAGCTCGTGCCCGTCCTGGTGGTGCTGCCGGTGATGGCGCCTCCGCGCCGCCCCGAGGTCCTGGCTATCGTGGTGATACAGCTCCTCATCCTCCTCCTCCTCCTCCTCCTCCTCCGCCGCTTGTCCGTGGCGAACGACGACGTCGTGCTCGAGCTGGCCGACGAGGGAGGCGAGCGCATCGTCCCTCGTGGCCGCGGAGGGGAGGAGGCGCAGCCTGTCGCCGTCGTCGCTGGCTGTGCCGGTGAGGAGGCGGCACGGAGGTGGAGCGCGTCGGAAGGAGAGGTGCGTGTGGGCGGTGGTGGTGGCGGCGGCGCGGGGGAGAGAGGAGAGGTGCGGGGAGAGTTCGCGGCAGGAGATGGGCGCCATCGGGAAGGTCACCGGCGAAGTCGCCGCGGGTTCGGGTGAGCGAGTATTCTGGACGTACCAACGTGGGGAGATCATCAAAGGAGTAGTTTATTGATGATGATGGGTGTAGGACTGTGGGAGGCTCTGTCCGGTGGGTCGGCTACCACTGCCGTAATTTATTACTCCGATACTGTAACAATCGATTAAGATAACAGACTTTGCCTCAGTCTTCAAGACTCTAAGAGCCCTTTAAATCATAGGAATACGAAAACATAGGAATAGAAAAAACACAGGATTTTGATAGAAATATAAGTGTAAAACAGAGGATTGCAAAATACAAGAATGACCGTTTGATTGGACCGCAGGAAAAACATAGGAATTAGAGGAGAGATAAAGACTCAAAAGGAAAGTTTCTAAGAGGTTTTACCTCATGTTAGAATTTCTCCAAAACTTACATGGCATTAGGCAATCCATAGGAATTTTATAGGATTCCATAAGATCCATTCCTTTGATTCAAAGGCTATATAGGAAAAATTCTTATAGGAATGAAATTCTCTAAAAATTTCTATGAATTTCCTTTGAATCAAAGGGGGCCTAAACATCGTCGACCTTCGACTGGTCATGGAGTAGGGAACCGGACAAGTCCATAAAATTTGCTCGCTAATTTATTTCTCACATGATAGTATAATATTTTTTTTAAAAAAATAAAGTTCACTCGTTAGTTCATTTCTCACATGGTAATATAACTTTTAGATAAAATAAACTAGAAATGAAATAAGAAGAAGAAAAATCCCACTAACCCATCCTGCTTGCATCCATAGAGATAAAAGAGTGGCAGGGAAAGGGTGAGAGGAGGGAAGAGGACAACTGAACATTTCTGTTTAACAGAGTATTTATTCTATCCTTAAAAAAATCAATTGTTTATATATCTTGTTTTAAGCTATTTATTAAGTTTTATTTCTAAAATATTTAACTTATCCTTTTATTTTACAAAATCCACATCAATAATATTTTTAAAAATCTAAATTAAATTGGGCCTTAGGTGACTTGAGAAGAGGAGAGACGGAGACACTAGTGGTGGCGGTAATAGGAAAGCAATACCAACGAGTGACAACAAGTCTAGAGGCGGTAGTGCATAGGAAGGTGGGGGTGTCACTACTCTAGCAGGGAGAAAAGGAATCCGTCAACAGGCTATACCCCATATATGGTATTTTTGAAGTATAGGAGTCGTTGGTGTCAAGGTATACGCAAGATTAAGGTAAAAGTTAAGAGACGAGAGACATTTATTTTTTATACATATCCAAGACTCTTACTTACGTGTAATAACTTTACTCCTGTTGATCGGAACTGGTGTTGCTATTATATATCAATATCACACGAGTACAATAATAAGGATGACCTAACATAATCTCTATCAGTATAGTGGTGTAAAGCTGTCGACGACTAGTAGTAGTCGACTTCCTCGAACATGAACTCAACAAGATTGGAGATTGCCCTAGCTTTTGTGGCGCTATAGTCTTGTCTTGACTTATGCTAATCTGTATTGGTTTTTTATTTGTGCGTCCCTTCTCCTTCTGGTGGACTTGTATTTATATCCTCGGGTGCTCTCTTGTCCAAGTAAGGCGAGGGAGGCAACTATGGATACGATTCAAGTAGACCTTGTAGTGTTCAAGTAGGACTTTGTTTCTCTTCCCTTATCCAGAACACCTTCCATATATGAGACTTGATTCTGTATTAAACTTAGTATATGGTTGGTCCCACCGAGCCTAAAATAGAAGTAAGAAGTATCTCATGTCCAGAACACTTACAGAACCTCCATTTTGTGATTCAGCCAAGGCGCTAGTGTGCGGACCTAAAGTCGGGAACACGAGACAATGAGTTTATACAGGTTCGCCGTACGGAAACGTAATACCCTACTCATATGTTCTTATCTGGATCCTTTTGCTGTAGTGTGTACAAGATGTTAAGTTTCTTCTATTCTAGAGCTGGAGAGGGCTCTTGTCCTTAGTGGCTTTTTTGGTTGGTAGATTCAGGATGCCCTCCTCTCTTTGTCTCTTGAGAGTAGCGGTGATATTGAGTTCTATGTTTGGGTACATGAATGGTGGGATTGATCACGAAGAGATGGATTAATTAGTTTGTTGACGTGCATGAATTTCTAGGCAATGCTAAGCATGTAAAAGTGATTAATGGAAAAAGAAAAAAAAAGAAGGCAACCGATAAATAGACAACTTAAGAAAAAAATATTTTGGTATTGCAATGTGATCTTAGGTCCTAGCTTCTCTCTTCCCATTACGATCACCTTTGTGCGGAGAAAGTCAATTCAAACATTTTAAGGGTACATACTTCATTTCTTACACATCATCGTATATATATTATATGTCTAAATAAAAAGTAACTATTAATGACATAGTACCAAATTTTGGAAACAATGAAAAGGAACTGTTCGATTTGATATCAAATCTGTGTCCATAAGAGAGAATATGCGCAATGACAAAATTTAATAGGATAGCATTTCCATGGTTTGTCTAGTTTGTTACCCTGTTCAAGTTCTGGTACGATGGATTTTGATAGAAAAGCAAACATAGATTCTAGTTGGATCACCTGAATAGGAAAACCGTAAAAACGTAGAAACATGATAGGATGACAATCAAATTTCTATGTTAACTTTAAAAATACATAAAGCTTCAAAACTATTATACATAGGGAACATGCAGAAAATTTGAGTCACGGGAAGAAGAAAACATGAAGCACAACCTCAATCTTATTTTCCTAAATGTTTCCCATGGATTGGCCGTCCATTCCATACAATTTTTAAAGGAATTTGTAGTGCTGGATCCTTTGTTTTAAATGTATGCATTGAATTTTTTTTCATAGGATACAAATCTTTCAAAATTCCTTTGCTTTTCTATTATTCCATATGAGCTGTGAAAATCTATGGTGTAAAGATGGAAGTGCTAATATTCTCGTCTATTTTTTCAATTGAGTCAAATGCATTGTCAATTCTTAAAGTTATACTTGGTGTCATTATAGTTTCTAAACTTTCGAAATACAAATGTAACCCCTCATTCTTGTTAAATATACCCACTCCGTTTTCAAATGTTGTAACATAGAATGAGATTAGACCCATGTTAGCACTACGAATTTGGATAAAGCAGTTATCTGATTTGTTTGTTTTACTAGGATAAGTATATTTAAGTGCAGAGTGACTATCATACAAGTTAAAAAAAATAGTAGGACGTGTACTCTATGTACTAACGTGGTTACCGACGTGTATTTATGTTGTTTTCAAAGTTTAGGAATCAATATTATATCGTGATATAAGTGTCAGCGTATTTCACTCTTCTTAATTAGTTGCTTATAGCTACTAATGGGGTTATGTTCGGTAGGCCGAAACTATAGCTGCAACTTTATCTGCCGCTGTCTTGTGTGGGTGGTACTATTTGTGCTTGCTATAGCACAACATTAAACCATATAGCCAAACAACCCCAATAATTCTTAGCAGATATTCTTTTTACAAAATTAGTTGATAGATGTGTTCAATGTGTTCAATTAAACTGTATCTCTATCTCTACTATTATAAAAATTGAAGATGTTTTTGCTGGTATTTTGGTACGTCATCCGTGTTAGAGTCGGTTTTTAAATTTTTTTCGCTTTTAGAAATATACATCCATGTTTGAGTCCAATTTTAAGTTCGTTTGCTTTTAGAAATATAAAAGGAGTCGTATAAGAAATCTCTTTAAAAAAATTTGCATACTAACTTAAGATGAGTGTCAGACTCCTAATTACAACTCATGATTTTCTAGAAAAAAAATATCCAAGCGAATTCTCACAGTAAATTTTACCATAGCCAAACCGTATAACAATAATAAGATTAAAATAATATTCATCCGTTGTAACGCATAGACATCTTTTATAGTAAACTAAAATATCTGGTTAGTGCACGTACTCATGTCTCCCGACGCATTTTGCACAAGCCGGAAGTTAAACTCCAGTAAAAAACCTGTCACTTAAACCACGCTAGTTTTTGAAGGAAACTGCCATCAAACGGTTTGTGCGAGTGAGCGCGACCGGGAAAATCCCCCGTGCGGGCGCCGGGCGGTGCTCCGCAATCACCCTATCCAACCAAATCCGCGAGAAAACTCCATATCCCCTCCACTCCACTCCACGCGCGGCTCTACCTCCCACTCCCCCCTCTCCTCTCCTCTCCTCTCCTCCACCTCCACTCTCCGCTGTCCACACGCGCCCGCGCGCGCGAGAGGCGAGAGCTCGCTCTCCCAGTCCCATCCCTGTCGCTCCCCATGTTCGCCGCTTCCACCTCCTCCACCGGCCTCCCCTTGCCGCGCGCGGGCGGCCTCCTCCTCCTCCCCACCTCCCGCTCCCTCCTCCTCCCGCGCCACCGCCACCGCCTCCGCCTCCGCGATGTTGGCGCCGCTGCGGCCGCCGGAGGGGGAGTGTCCGGCGGGGGCGGCGGTGCTGCTTCTTCGAGGGAGCCGCCGAGGACGCTGTTCCCGGGCGGGTTCAAGCGGCCGGAGATCCGGGTCCCGGCGCTCGTCCTCCGCGTCGGCGCCGACGAGGCGCTGGCCTCCGGGGACGCGGTGGTCGCGGCCGTGGCGCGGGGCGTGGGGATCGTCGTGCTCGAGGCCGGGGAGGAGGGCGGCGGGCGCGTCTACGAGGCCGCGCTCTCGCTCAAGGCGTCGGTCGGGGACCGCGCCTACCTGCTCGTCGCGGAGCGCGTCGACGTCGCCTCGGCGGTCGGTGCCAGCGGCGTCGTGCTGGCTGACGACGGTTGGTGACTGCTTTTTTTCTCCCCAGCTTCGTATTTCGTACGAGTAGTTGCTTGTTGTGGTAGGTAGTTGCTTGTTTGAAACAAAGCCATTGAAAAATATGTTTCAGGGTGATATTTATTCGGTTTGAAAGTTGAGGCCGAACGCCAATCGATTTTATAGTTCATGGCGAAAAATGGATTTCGAGCAAAGTTTAAGGGCCATAATTGGACTTTACCCTTTAGAATATGCCATATGGTTTCGTATAATTTAGTACCACCTCTATCCCAAAATAAGTTCATTTTTCATCAATCACACGCATATCATAAAAAACAAAAAAAAAACTAGAATACTCCTATTTTATCAAATCCCAATGCAACTATTCATCACTTTATCTACTCCAAATACCATCCTTTCTTCCTTTATAGTTGGTACCCACTACAAGTCATTTATGCTATAAAGCTTAAATTCTGTGAGACCACATCATCAAGATTATATTAACCATTAGATCATCTTGCGTCTATGCAAATCAACCATTAGATCAAGTTCTTCTCAGCCGATGGCATTTGAGAGGACCAATGCTTTTTGTCTTCCGCTTAATTACCTCACGCATCATTATATATCCCTTTATCACTAACCACTAACCAATACATCTCCCACCTAAAGCCTACACCACTACATTTGTGTCTACCTTTTTATCATTCCTTTTAATTTTTCTAATGCATCTACTAGCCATATCTAGGTTGATCCAATGGATTTTCTTGGAATATTTATGCTTGAACAGGCTTCCTCAATCATCTAAAGAGGAAATGTCAATGGTCCAATGAAATTTTGGTTTGTCACTGTCATAGATGACATCGAAAATTTGTTGGACAGATTACAACACTCGATGATTTTTACCAATTGCAAGGATGTGTATCTATGCCTATCTCCTATGGTGATTGGTTTTTGGTACTCTATCATGATCTTGCTTCTTTTCATATCTGATTTCTTCGTGTTAAAAGGTTGTGCCAAATCTTTGTGTTTTTAAGACCGCAATCACTAAATTTGTTTCTCCACAGTTCCTCCAATTTACTTATAGGTGAACATGTTTCTTGAAATTACTAGATTCATGCACCCAATAGTTGTTTTTTTTTAAGATCATATACCAACATATGCATGCAACATTATCCGTATTTTCTCTTTGTTTTCTCACAAAAAGAAATATTTTATTAGTTATTTAAAATATCTGAATGAGATCTTAAGCCAATTTAGTACATAATAAAAATAGTGTCATGTTTGCTTACCGTTTATGGTTCTTCGAAATGGGAGTATCTTAATTGGAATCATGTCATTTCTATTCATATAGCAATTCAATGTACAGATCGAACGTTCAAGCATGTTGATCATGTAATTATGATAAATTTATAACTATATGGTCCCTTCTATGTAATGATACTATACCAATAGTCAAAAGTTCTAGAATTATTCAGTCAAAAAAAAAGTTCTAGAATTATAGCTTACAAATTCATGATATAACTGTCCCGCAGCAACGCGTGGGGTATCAACTAGTCATTCACAATGATTACTCCAAAAATGAACTTATTTTGGGACAAATTGAAGGGCTAAAAATGAACTTAATATGGGACGAAGGAAGTACATTTTTTAGTCACTTGTCTTACCTGCTCCTTTTCCCAGTTTTCAGTACTTGTCATGTCAATAACTTTGACCAGATTTCGCTAGATATTGTTCTCTGTCGTGGTGCTAACCAATAATCAGTCAGTTTCTTTAGAAGTACTAAAAAAGAAACTACTAGTATGTAGCAACAACCAAGCATTTTTCTAAGGAGGTTCCTTCTGTACTTTGATGCAGGTATTCCTGCTATTGTTGCAAGGAGTATGATGATGAAGTCCAACTCGGACTCCATATACCTCCCTCTTGTCGCTAGAACCATACGTTCTGCAGACACTGCAAGAAGCGCCACAAGTTCAGAGGGGGCTGATTTTCTTATCATCGATACCGGCAGTGATGATGCTATTAATGTTATGAATGGTGTTAGTGGCACTCAGCATGTGAAGATCCCCATTTTTTCCACTTTGAGTGATTCGCAAAGTGAAGGGTCTTACTCAGATAACACATCCAGGTTGCTCCAATCCGGTGCATCTGGAATTGTTATGTCTTTGGCTGGTATTCAAGTACTCGCTGATGATATTATAGAACGGGATTTTTCAAAAGTGGATACCGCTGAAAGTGTCCTACAGGCTAATTACTCTTCAGCTAGTACTTTGGAAGAAGCAGATAATGTAATGGTCCTAACTCGTGAGAAGGCAAAAGTTGCTGGATTCACAAAACTAGATGAAAAAGTAATGCAGCTGATATCGATAGAAAAGCCTATTCTAAGTGAAGCTGTTGCTGTTATCCGCAAGGCAGCACCAATGGTGATCATCTAATGTTACATATTTGGTAGTTGAAGTTGCCCTGGAATGAATTCAGTTTTTCTTCACATCATCATTTCTAGCATATCCTCGACTTGAAATATAATTTTCTGTTTTGTGGCAACAGATGGAGGAAGTTGAGCTTCTAGTTGATGCTGCTTCTCGCCTGAGTGAGCCATTTTTGTTGGTTACTGTGGTAATTTGGTTTACATTAAATGTTGATAGCTTGCTTTATACTTCATAGACAGATGATTTTTTAGACATGATTCTTCTGTTGTTTGCATAAATAATGAAATTGTATTATGTGGTTCATGGAAATGCTGCTTCTCACGCTGGATAACACTGACAGTCCTGCCATGGATTTTCTCAAAGCAATTTATATTATATGATTATTTCTCACCCCAAGGATTTTTTTATGAGAAGTTATGACCATGTTGGATCAATGCTTAGCAGCAATTATATTTTTAGGCGGTTCAGATAAACCTGTAGCATTTAATGTTGATTTTGGCTGATTTTACATCATGAACTCTGGCTAAAAAATTTAAAAAACTAAAATTCTTTTTAAGAGGAGAAATATTGTTCACACTATGCTCGTATGATGCTGACATACACTATGTTTTTCTGAAAAAATCCATTTACAGCCCACACCTTTGCAAAGTGTTGAAATCAACTATCTCAACCTCCAACCTTGGAACTTAAAAATGGATCACTCCCAACCTGAATTCCTGGAGTAGAGAATTGGACATTTTGCGACCACAAACTCTAAAATCTTGTTCACTTTTTAAACCCTCAGGCTGGTTTGGTTGATGTCTGCTCACATGCTGATGACCACACTGATGTTTTAGCTCACATGCCAGCCCACCTAGCAAAGTCTTTTTTAGGTCTGGCACTGACAAAATCTCAAGGGGGTGGCATGCAAATGCCACATAAACAAAAGCAATCCAGTTTTGCTGTGAGAGGGTTGAGAGTTTGATGTTAAAAAATATCTGGTTTTGTAGTTTAGAGTTCATATAAACTACCAGAAGAGTCGCTATTAAATGGACATTTCTTAAAACAAAACTCATTTATGTCCACATCCTCATTTATGTAACTGGAAGCATATATGCCGACATCCTTGATGGTGATCCATTTGCATCAGCTGACATAAAGCCCCTTGCTTTTCTCTTTCATCTTTCATTATAATTAATCAGATTATAACTCCACCAAACATAGGTCCTGTTCTACAAAGGCATAAACTGAACTGCTGTGCTTGTTGTCCTGATGAAATCAATTTATTTTATTAAAAAGTTGAACTGTTCTTCAGACTGTTATACATTATATTGGTCAATCTATCTTCTCTTACATTTATGTTTCTTAATTAGTCTCTAAATTTATCTCAGGGTGAATTTAATTCGGGAAAATCAACTTTTATAAATGCTCTACTTGGGAGGAAGTATCTTCAGGAAGGAGTTGTGCCCACAACAAATGAGATCATGTTGCTATCATATTCTGATGTTGACTCTGAAAGCGCAGAACGATGTGAGAGGCACCCGGATGGTCAATACATGTGCTATTTATCGGCACCCGTATTGAAGGAAGTAAGTACATAGTTGATGTCTTGATGCTACCCTTTCACCCTTTACTGTATTTGGTTGAACAAGCTAGCTACGCCAGGATGGTTATCATGATGTAAGGAAACATAATATTTTTCAACTACTTGAAGGCTGCTTTCTCTATGAATCTCAAAGAAATATTTGTTCTAAGGAAGCATTCGAGTTAATGAATATGTATGAAATAGAGGAATACAACTCTTTCCTCTACAAAATGCTGTAGTTTTAGCATGTACAACCTGTCTGTTAGCTGTTTACTGACTTTTTATGGGTCTGCATTCGCTATAATTGAGAGGGATTTCAAAAAATAAATGGCAGTCGTCTTCCACCTTATTTCCCCTTAGTGTTTCTGGGTTACATTAATGTTACAATGCCAACTTACTGGTGCAATTTTCTTGACTCATGACTTCATCTCCATGGCTGTGAGATGTTTAATTGTGTACTATTGAACAGATGAACCTAGTTGATACGCCTGGAACAAATGTTATTCTCCAAAGGCAGCAACGGCTTACTGAAGAATATGTGCCCCGAGCTGACCTAATACTCTTTGTTCTTTCATCAGACAGACCATTGACTGACAGTGAGGTAATGATTATGATTATTTGATTGTGCCAATTCTTTATGCATTTGATAGTCATTATCTCACCACTATGTTTTAGGAATGGTAGGTAGAAAGCATGAAACAATAAAAAAAATGAGTCAAATCCTATAATAGATCATTTGTTGAATGTGCCCCATTTTTATTTCCTCTGCATGGATAACTGAATAATCTCTTGATTTGTATTTGGTTCTAGTTCTTTACAATTATGAAATTAATCAAAAGGGAAGGATTGTCTGTATGACTTGTCTAAGTTCCTGGGATCGGTGGGTTTAAAATATAATCTCCCAGGGCGATTAACTCAATGCATCCTTTTATCATGCATTGGCAATTTAGCATGCTGCACTTCCTTAGGAAAGTGCCTGTTGCCTGTTGCCTAAATTATTGCAGAACACACTTCCTTGGCCCCAACCTATGATATGCATTCTGTCTCACATTTTTTATGTAGTTTGGTACACTTATTTGAATACTGACTAAAGACTTAAATTTTCACACCCAAGTTTATTTTTTGAGGAACGTGATATTGTGGCCATCTGTGACGAGCCTTTTTAAACTTATAGATTGCATATTGCTTAGGATTTTATCCTTATGCGATTCCTTACCTAACAAATATTTTATTGAAAATTCTATAATCCTTATTTATCTCTCAAGGATGCAGTTTTGTCCTTGGTCCTTTATTATTTGTCCTTTACAGTGGAGCTAAAAACGTTCTTGACTTCTAGGTCGGATTTCTCCAGTATGTTCAGCAGTGGAAGAAGAAAGTTGTATTTGTACTAAACAAATTGGACCTTTATCGGAACAGTAACGAGGTCTGATATAAATCTCTAGTTCAAAATCCCTGCAAAATATTGCCTATCCTATTTACCTTTTTCCTGATTGCTATTTTGCTTCTCAATCCAACGGTTTTAGCTTGAAGAGGCTACTGCATTTATCAAGGAAAATGCAAGAAAATTGCTTAACACAGAGGATGTGACATTATTTCCTGTATCTTCACGCTCTGCTCTGGAGGCCAAGCTTTTGTATTCAAAAAATGATGGAAGAGAGCATCATGGGGAAGCTTTGTTTAATGACCCTAGATGGAGAAACAGCAAGTTTTATGATCTAGAGCATTACCTATTGAGCTTCTTGGATGGATCAACAGAAAATGGGAAGGAAAGGGTCCGGCTGAAACTTGAAACGCCAATTGGAATTGCAGATCGTTTGCTAACGTCATGTCAAAGGCTTGTGAAGCTAGAATATGAAAAGGCTATTGATGACCTAACATCCATCAAGGATCTTGTTTCTGGTGCAAACAATTATGCTGTGAAGATTGAGGCTGACAGTGATTCTTGGCAAAGGCAGATTTCATCCCTTGTAGGTTTTCTGAAGATGACTATTTCTGTTTTACCCTTATGTTCTTCAATTCTACTATGATATATTCCCTATTTGCAACCATAAGGCATACATAGTAGTTAGCTTTGATGCAAAATAAGAGAAAACATACAAATAATGGTGTTTTTCCTGCTGGTTTTTCATTTTTTCTCCCTGAAGTTTATGCGAACAAAAGAGTGAAAGTCTTCCTCTCCTTTCTAAGGAAATTATGAGGGGTGGTTTAGTTTTTCTTCCAGTGGCATGTGCTTCAGTTGAGATATCTTTAGTCCATATGTAATACTGTATAGTTGACAAATGTCTTAACCTGTTGCATTGATATTTTCTTTTTATCTTGCAGATTGCGAGAGCTAAAGGCCGAGCAATTTCGCTCATGGAATCTACACTTCAGTTGTCAAACATTGACCTTATTTTTACATACACCCTTTCAGGGGGGAAAAGCACTCCCACCAAAGTTACATCATTTTTTCAAAATGATATTCTGAGCCCTTCCCTTGATGACGCAGCAGTATGTTGAACACTCTTCTCATTTACATATCATATTAAAAATTTTCTTTCTACATGTTTGTATTTTCCACATTTTCTTGCACATGTCATTCAGACAAAAATTGCCCAGGTTTGTTGCAAACAATTCAGATACATAAATATCACGAGAAAATTGAGTAGTGGGCATCATTAACTCCTGGTGTCTGGTTCATATTTGTTCATGCCTGTTACTCCTATTTGTTTAAAAGATTTCTAACATTTGCTTCATGTTGGTTATTTATTTGCATTGTGGTGCTTATTTGTTTGTGTTATCAACAAAACTTTCTTTCTTTTGTCTAGAATTTGCTAAGTGAATATTCTACATGGTTGAGTTCTACCAATGTCCGTGAAGCAAATATATATGTGGACTGCTTCCATGAGAGATGGGGTGCATTGGTTGCCCAGGAGCAAAGGATTCCGCCAGAGAAAAATGAACTTGTCAATGAAGAAGAGAAACTCTGTGTAAAGGCACTGGATGGCTTCAGTGCTAGTGCTGCTGCTAAGGTTTTTGAAGAAGAAATTCGTGAAGTGGTATGCCTATGAAGATATAGTTATAACTTTTTTATACATACAGTATACTTCTTTATTATTCCTGAAACTGTAGAATAAGCTTATCCTTATAAACTAACAAAGTGTGACTTCTAAGCCCTGAAGTTTTCAGCACAGATGAGAAAACCTAAAACCACTGAAAGGTCTCAAGTAATACTGATACAGAAAGTCACATGGAAGAGATGATATACCAACTATAATAACATTAAAATAACCTGAAGTAGGGGAGTTGGACTGAAGCTTACTTTGATTCTTTTTTTCTTAATGAAAATGATAATAATGGTCTTCTTAATTCTTATTATGTACCAACTATTTTAATTTTATCATAGGCAAGTAATTAGTATTTGGGCAAGTAGATACTCTTGCTGGGGTAGATGAAGCCTTCCTATTACTACTACTTCGTACTTCCCATGGTTATCAATTTTGTTTGAGAGCATCTAGTTTTGAGGCCGTCTATGATTTCATTATACTTGTTTTTTCTTCGCTGTTCTCATTCTGAGCTTTGCTAAGTGAAGGCTTGGGGAACCTTTGGAGGGCTAGGGGTTGCTGGATTGTCAGCTTCTCTTTTGACCTCTGTTTTGACAAGTACACTTGAAGACCTTCTTGCTCTAGCTCTTTGCTCAGCTGGCGGGTAATTCTCGATTGATAACTAGAGGCCACTTTTCAGTAAATAGGTTTGCTATGCATGGAATCAGCTGATATGAAATTATATGCATATTGATCTAATGGACAATACTCCTTTTTCAGGTTCTTTGCAATATCAAATTTTCCTACCCGTCGGAAACTTGCAGTAGAGAAGATCGGCAAGGCTGCTGAAAAACTTTCTTCTAAAGTTGACGAAGCTATTCAGCAGGATATATCCCGTAGTGCTAATCAATTAGTCCATTTTGTTGAGACTGTCAGCAAACCTTATCAAGATGCATGTCAGCAAAAGATAGATTGGCTGCAGGGTGTTCAGGGTGAGTTGTCCACTGTTGAGCGTAAGCTCCAAACTTTGAAAGTTGAAATTCAAAATCTTCATGAATCATGAGGTTTCAATTCCATTGAAATTTTCTTCATTTATTTGCACTCATGCCTTGGATGGGTGATATGCGCTCATCAAATTTTGTTAGTTGGTGTTGTATTATGGTGGGGCTGTTGATAGATATATCTGTAATATATGTTGTACCTTCTCAACAAGTGATACTTATCACGTAATCAGGAGCAATGCAACCACAGGTTCAATCGATCATTATTCAAATGTTTTTCCCTGTTCTATGTTAGTTGCCCAGGGCCATTACAAAAGCTTTGCAATGGTGTTGGAACTACTGCCCTACACATGAAGCTGGATTTAGATTGAGTTTCTACATACATAGTATGTAAACAGTTCTTTATATTTGAATGTAAATTTTAAATTCGCGAACGCTTTTTCATAATTTTATGGCTAGCTTCAATCAATACGACTGCTTGCATTCACTAATAAACGTTTGTTGTCGTACACAGTACAGAATACACATTATGGCATTATTCCAGCCGTATATCCTCCAATTGTTTAATTTCTCTGGTCCAGTTGGTACTTCGTATCACCCCTTTTTCTTATGCCAAGTTCTTCTCCGTCGTCTAATTAAGACAAAAGGACAAGTACTACACCATTCATTGGTAATTGCTTCTGTTGAAATCTTGTAGCTGTCGTGCATCTGGGCATCTAGCCTTTCGGTTAGTGCCTTGCTACAGAGTACAACTAGATACTGTTGATAGCTTAGTCAAATGCCATCCGAGTGCCCATAAAACCTCCTCTGATTGGAGGTCTTGGCAACAAATGGTGATGTGCCTTCTGCCACTCTCTTGCTCTCTTTATTCTTCCTTTCACTACCATGTCTCAGGTAGATGCATATGCACGGATACCTGTCCAAGCTGCACGGTATATCACTGAACTTGTGGGTAACAGATGCCAAGCTGAATTTATTCTCTCCCACTCTCTTTTCATATGTATACACCATACACACACATCCACGAGTGCGTTCTCATTTCATATGCGACAAGAAGAAAAAAGCCAACAAAACTCTTTATGGAAGCGCGCCCGTAATCGCACGATTACGGGTACTAGGATTTAACCTCTGATAGGTAAGAGTCATGTATCCACACACGTCAAATGTGCTTCCTCAAACTGCATTTGTTCTCTTTCTAGGATTGGAAAAAATGCTGCCTGAAAGTTCAAACATTCCGGTGAGCAATAATAATGCAATATGCCAGTGTTCCAAGATTATTTCTACTAATTCCTTCGGCTCAGATTAATTAACAAGCAGTTGAATTTTCGTGCTACCGAAACTAGCAGCTACTGGGGGTGCCTAATAATCGCCTACCATTCCATGTTTTGTCCTTGTTTATGTTTGTTTTGCTAAAGCATGTCTTGGGAGTACTTTTAATTGCTTGTCCTGCATGCATCACAGCATCAGCAGCATAAACTTTTTTTTGCACCCCTTTTCTTTAATTTAAGAGTAGTACAATGCATGAAGTAGCCGCGAGTGCACGGTAGGATTCTTGCCTTTGCGGTGCTGGATTCAGCTCAACGCTCGTTGGACACATGCGAAGCACAAGCACAAAAGGTTAAGGCGATTGTTTACCTTGTGTTAAAAGGTGCTAAGTTGACATCATTAGGGGTAGATATATTAAAAGTGATCGAGACTATGCATGCCTAAATATTGTTTTTAACGTTGTCGTCACGAACAGTCACTGTGATACCTCCGTTTTAAATATACTCTCTCCGTCCCATAAAAAACCAATCTAGTATCGAATGTGACACATGCTAGTACTACGAATCTGAATATACAATGTCATATCCGGTCCTGTATTCGTTTTTTATGGGACAAATGGAGTATAACTCAGTCGGTTTGTTATACTGATTGTTATAATTAAAATAAATTTAATGTAAAACAAGTTTCACAGCAAAATAAATCATACTTACATAAATTTAAAAGATGAAGAGAAACATAAGCAAACGAAGGGCTAACATGTCCGTGAGACAACAAATGATCGTGTATGCATGAGATTTCCATTGAGATGAAGAAGTGATGATGAGCTTTGCTGTGCTCAAGAGTACGTAGGTGACTAGGCTTCACTTTGTTTTTAGGGAGACAAAACGTCTCCCTAGCTACGTAAACTACTCCTGACGTGTCGCAATTAGTGAAAAGCTAATCCTTCATTTTAATCTCTAATTAACTATACTATGAATCATGGTGGCCTGCTCGTGCAGCCAGACCATGGAATTAGCTGTTTGTCGGCTTCTTGTCCTAGGCGCTGGTTTGAGCTTAGCTATGCTAGAGCTAGAGCTTAGAGCAGGTACAATAGCAGGCTATAAGCGAGCAGCGGGCTACACATCTGTAGCCAGCTGAAGTACGGATTTCAAGACATAATGTGTATATGATAGGTAGGACCAGATATTAATAATATAGTAAGCACCTATTATATGAATTGGCTATATATAATTTAGAGCTAGTAGTGGGCTATACTATTAAACTTGCTCTTAGCTGAATCCTTTCTGCATATATATGTACGTACGATTTCGATGGATCTCGCAAATCTGAACAAGGTGACAGCACAATCCGGGCTCGAAGTGACGGTACTCGCTTTGGCTGATTCACCGGTGGCCAAAGATCTCACATTGTCTGTGAAACTCCACGGCCTTTTTATTTTTGCCGGCCAACTTTGTCTGAAACCCCAGCATATCATCCAGGGGCAAAGATTCTGAGCTACAGGTGTCAACAGGGGAGAAGAACGCCACTGACACCCAAAATGAGAGGCCATAGCTTAATTAGCAATGGCCAGTGCCAGATGTGGCCAGACCATGGCACCATCACATCTCAAATCGGTGTATTATGGGATACATTTGACAGTAAGCAATACATGGGAATTTAACAAAGCTGAATATGTAACAGAAGTTCTAGCCAGGGGACCAAGCTCTCAAAGGAAAAAGGCATTGTCCATATTTTGATGTCATCTAGTAGTATATATCTTGGAGCAACATTGTCCAGTCATTTCTTGAGAACCAAAAAGATGAGCTTAGCTTAAGAACATAAATGTCTTGCTTTCTGCTTAAGAAGGGTAGCTAAAGGCAAAAAAAAAAAAAAAAAACTAATGCAGAGGCAGACATATTATTATAGAAATATGGAACAGTGATCTTTCACTTAAGAAGGCAAAAAGGGCAGGGACCAATGTAGAGACAGGGGTTTGTAGGTTGGTACCACCTAACCAACCCTAGATACTCTTAACATTTATGCAAAAGTTAGAACATATAGGTAATGTAGGGTTATAGGCTATGTTAAGCAATTAAGCTTGCAAACTACCTCGGCCGTCCAAATTGTATCGACTATCACAAGTGTTTATATAAGGAGATGTATTACTACTGATTTGACCAAAAAAAAACAAAATCTTCAAAAGCCATGATTCTCTCTCTAAAAAAATGCATGCACATAGCCAAAAAAACGCTATGTAGTTACAATTCATTTCGAATTCAATCAATGGTTTGAAGAACTAGACCAATTGATAGCAACTTTCTGGTGTGGTACTGTCATTTGTCTTATTTTTGTTTTCGGGTAATCTCCAAAAGAAGAGAGAAAATAATCAGAACAAAATCAACATATGCCATGTACAGTACTATCCATTGTGTCCACAAGCTAAGGTAGTAACATATGTGAGGGATGTTTCACCTTTTGGTTTTATTCTTATCCACTATCCAGAGAACCAAAAAGCTAGCAAAGCACAAACCGGAAATTGACCTCTTCATGGAATTATTTTTATTTTCAGAAAAAAAGGTCAAAAATTAAGAAAGCACCCAACCAGTGCGTATTTTTATATCTCCTCCACAAGATAGGGAAAAAGACCTTTTCCATTTAAATTGCTAGGAATGTATTCTTTTACACTTACTAATTATTTTTTCGCATCCGAAAATTTCTGAACCATCAATTCTGAAGTCTGATTGGTGCAGGTGGATCCACAATGGATTTAGATTCTTTCAGCTGCCTAGCAAACTACAGTAATCCTTAATATAAATACATCATATGGAAATTGTTTACTTCACAAAAGATAATTAGCAAAAAGCAATTACAACCACAGAAGGAAAGGGACAACTTATTGATCAATATTTCGTAAAAAAACACTTATTGATCAATATTTGTGCACCATTGACACCGGTACACTACTGCTACGATTTACACTTATAACACAAGTGCAGACGTTACATTGGTGCGTTGATAATCAAATATTAGTGCTAATTATTTACACCATTACGAGTGCATGTCTCCTTGGTGGTTTGTCCACGGTATATCCTCATCCATCCAAAACCTCTGGACGTGTGTGCACAACGTGCCCTGCAAATTTAAAGCAACTGATTGGAGCAACTTATTTCTGTCCCCAATGTAAAATAATGTCCAGATACAACGAGGGAGGTGATGTGATGTGAATAATGCTCCAATTGTTTTTTTTTTTTGGTGGGGGTTAAGTTGGTCGTGAGACATGGATGATATCAGGAGGCCAACTGAGCTGTTAAAGCTGATCTTTGCCGTGACTTGTTCGTATATATGATCAATTATTCTTTCCTCAGTGTACGTACAGCTTACACAAAAATCTAATGAGGGGGATAATGAGACTATGTTAACTGAAAACCTAGAATTGGAGAAATGTGACATTCCATCCTTGTCTGACATTGCAAAACAGATGGAAGAGGAAGAGTGTGATGAAGAGGATAGCTTTCAAGAGGTTCCTTACAAGAAGAACAGACCCATGAAAGCAGAACCTGCTATTACTTCAAGAATGAGCCTGAGGAATAGAGCTGAACTTCTAACCAAAAAGAAGAATCTGGAGTCCACGGGTAATTCCAACCCTTTTGCTGTTTTTCAGTTAATTGATCCCTTTGAGTTGAATAACATTGCTATTGCTGCTAATATTTCCTTAGATAGTAACTTAGTAGAAATCAATAATACTGTCAGGGTTATGGATAAGGTATACCCTCTATACTTGGATGTGCGTTGTATACTGATACGGTATACTCGCGCGTATACGGATAGTTCCTGTATACGTTAAGGAAATCTATCACGTGACAGAAACAGAATCCACAGATGGAGGGAGTCCTACTCGGACAAGACTGGGTCTTTACCATATCGTGAGGGGTCCGATATCTCCGAGCCCTACTTGGAGATCAACTGACCCGCGGTATAAAAGGGACCCCCTAGGCAGGACCTAAGGCATCGAATCTCA